CATATTTCAGAGAAATCTCAAGATGAAAAAAACCCATACAGAATGGCAGGTTATAAAATACCTAGGAGAAAATTGTCCTAAAATGACAGTCTTATGACAGGTACCACGATTACTTTAGAAAAAAAAACTTTACTTTTAAATAACTCCTTCAAAGTAGGCCAACAGTTAGAATTATGCATTTGGGATGACATAAAATAGAAAACCTGCCATTAATGGTCTAGAAATTTAAGCTCAAATTTAGCAAAAGCTAAAATTATGGCTGCTAACGAGTGATTCCTTTTACTAGGTTGAATGATGGTTAATTGGTCATAATGACTGCTCATTTGAGGTTTTGCTAGGAGATGATAATTCTGCCTGGATATCTCTCTGGAGTGTTTTGAAGGACACTCAGCTCAGAAAAATTGAGTATTCTCAGCCCTCTTTAACTTGTCAGAGAAATGAGAATTTGGGAACCTGCAGAATTGCGTGATGATTGTGGTGCAAAATAAATAGGCTTCATTTTTGCACATATGCAAGAACAGTGGCTGCTGTTCTGTGCACAAACCCAAATCAGGTAGCTGCCATTTATACAGGTAGTCTTTGGCTTATGACAGTTCATTTAGTGACTATTCAAAGTTACAAGAGCACTAAAAAGTGATATATGACTGCTTTTCACAGTTATCACCTTTTGTAGTAGTCCCATGATCATGTGATAAAAATTCAGATGCTTGGCAACTGGTTCATACTTATGACCACTGCAGCATCCCGGGGTCATGTAATCACCTTTTGCAACCTTCTGACAAGCAAAGTCAATGGGGAAGCCAGATTCACTTAACAACCAGGTTACTAACTTAACTGCAATGATTCACTTAACTGTAGTCATAAAAAGGTCATAAAATGGGGCAAAACTCAGTTAATAACTGACTTGCTTAGCAATAGAAATGTTGGGCTCAATTGTAGTTGTAAGTCAAGGACTCCTTGTATTCTCTCCAAAGGTTCAGACACAAAAGAGATAAAATCAATGAAAACTGGGTTTTCTTGGCCATTGTAGTCCAAGAAAATCAGTTAACAACAGAACTATTCCTGGGGGGAGGAGAAGTGAGTGAGGTAGAGTTTAAGAAATGGCAAGAAATGTCATAAAATGAGGCAAAACTCACTTAATAAATCTCACTTAACAGAAATATTGGGCTCAATTGGACTACCTGTATTTATAGTTGGTTAGGAATTCTTCTCCAAGAACTTGGCTAGAGACCTCTTGGTCAAGTATCTTGATTTACCCAAGTGATGAATAACATCTATGTTCTGACTCCATTTTGTAGCGAGCAAGACGGTATTCTTGTGCTGTCTGAATGGTCTGACCTTGCTTCCTTGGTCCCACCCTTTCAGGAAAGTTCAGTGAAAGTGATTCTACTTTGCCCTCTGCCACACCCTTTCATACGGTTATTAGTGTGTGACACCCAATTAAATTATTTTGCTGCTGAAATTCTTTTAGTCCCAGAAACCTTCCCACTCCCATGCTTAAAATAGAAAATTCTACGGGTACAAATGTCATGTGCCCACAACCCCTTTCAAATTATACACTCTCTTTCCACAGCTTTATACAGATTAAAGTTTTCCTGAAGTTTAAGCTGTCTCCTAAAGCCATCTTAATATTGCATTAATTTTTTAAAAATTCAACAAAATATGGTTTCTACAGGCAACCAAGGACTGTATCTACAAGAACCACTTCAGTATATATTCTGTTGGAGTTATAAACTGTCATTTACTATATGCTGGTTAACCATGTGTAGCCTGTTCCGGTACAAGTGACCTTTTCAAGGATGAGCGGTGTGTTAAGCATTGTCAATAAGTTAAGTTCCCTCATCTGGCATGACAGATGTTTGATTTTCATGTCATTTGAAGGGCTGCACAAATAATGATGACCAAAATAGCACATTTGCCAGTAGTAAAGCAGCTACCTTGCAATGTACATTAGCTATTATTTCAGCATGACGAATATGACTGTTCAGGTTTCTTCTCACATATATTTATCAATACTTTGGAAACCATAAGCAGAAGTGCGAAAAGGTCATTCTTTCCTAACTTGTTATGTGGCTGTCATATTTCCATCAGGATAACTGAAGGAAGTTTTTTAGAATCAGCCCAAGTTATCAAAATAAGCACATTTCTAGCAGACTGCTGTGCAGAAGTGGAATAGATTAGATTGTAATGTTGGCAAAATACCCTCATTCCCAAATTAGGCCAGGTGCATAGGACAAATCTTTTTCCCCAGACCAATATAACTCAGAAGCTATTTGACACCCCACGACTGGATAATCAAGTTCCTAGAAAGAACAAGTCAGTAGAACTTATTCAAAGATGAAAGGCACAATGGAAGACACTTGTTGGGCAATGGTGATAGAGTGGGAGAAGTTAATTCAAGAGAGGAATCTTCAATGGAAGCTTGCTATTGCCATTAATGTATGTTATTGCACTGATTTCTCTATGAATGATACTGAACAAGTCAGGCCATGACTATCAAACATCTAAAACATCTGCTGTTGGGATAGATAAAAATGCCAAATTGAGTATAAACATCTTGATTGTGTGACCATACTAATTGCTTCATTTACAGCGGTGATAAGAGTGGAAACTGAATCCCTCTGAAGAGGAACTTAAAGGTTATTTTAAGAAAATGAAGTCAGCATCCCCATAAAGCTCATCTGCGGAAGGAAGCATGAAGCGCTCCAAAATCTCCTGATAGACGGCTGCGTTGACCCTGGACTTAATGAAGCACAGTGGACCAACACCAACAGATGACATGGCTCCCCAAATCAACAGACTGTGGATACTTCACACTGGACTTCAACCATCAGGCCGGGTCTGTTTTTCCTTAGCCCAGGTAAGACACTTTTGATGTTTGTTGTCCAGGAGCGACTTGACAAGAGGAATACAACATTTGAAGCCCATGTCCAGGATCCGTCTGTGTTTGGTGGCTCTTGATGCGCTGACTCCAGCCTCAGTCCACTCCTTGTGAAAGTCCCCAACACTTTTGAATGGCCTTTTCCTGACAATCCTCCCCAGGCTGCGGTCATCCCTGCTGCTTGTGCACCCTTTTCTTCCGCACTTTTACCTTCCACATAACTTTCTATTAATGTGCTTTGATAATGTGCACTTTGGGAACATCCAACTTAATTTGCAATTACCTTTTGAGGCTTTCCCTCCTTATGGAGGGTGTCAATGATGGTTTTCTGCACAACTGTCAGGTCAGCAGTCTTTCCCATGATTGTGATTCCTACTGAACCAGACTGAGAGACCATTTAAAGACTCAGGAACCCTTTGCAGGTGATATGGCTTAATCAGCTGATTAGAGTGGGACACCTTGAGACTAGAATATTGAATATTGAACCTTTTCACAATATTTCTAATTTTCTGAGATTGTGGATTTGGGGTTTTCATGAGTTGTAAGCCATAATCATCTCAATTAAGACACATCACTGCTTGAACTATCTTGCTTTGCATGTAATGAGTCTATCTCATATATTAGGTTCACCTTTTAAGTTGCATTACTGAAATAAATGAACTTTTGCACGATATTCTAATTTTTCAAGTTTCACCTGTATGTTCCTCTTTCCATCTCAGAGGAAAGAACTGGAAAACATAATAGAAAAGATTGATTGACAAACCCAGTAAATCAATACATGTTTAGGAAGTTTCCAGCTATTCTGAAAGACCAGAGAAAAGGCAATCTTGTCTTTATAGTCTAACCCAAGTTGATGGTATCTCTTTTCTTCCCAGTGAAATTACATTTTCTAAAACTGTCCTTATTTTGGTTGTTTTTCTGAAACAGCATATAGACTACTTTTTGTGTGAAAATCTGCTATCTGCAGAAGGTTTTGGGGTTGTTGTTTTTTTGCAATTTTTGCAAATATTTACAATCGTTACTTTTTAAAAAATCCTGGTCCTATTGTTTTTGGAATATAACTTATTAATATACATACATACACGGTACATTACACACTAGCCAACATGTGCATCTGTGGAAAATCTCCAAATGGTTTCAGATGGAAATGGCAATTCTACATATGAAGAACCTGAACACTGTACCATTCAGGATTCCCATGACCGAGATGGAAAGGTAAAAGCTAGTTACACAAGTTGTGAATAAGCCCAATATGAAAAATGGATTTTGTTCATCCCTGTTATCTAACACTTAGGATTCTAGAATGTTGCTTTATGACTTTCTGACCTTCAACTATCTCAGTGTGAGAATATTTTTTTGATCTTCCATCTTTTAGTGGCTAGATGGTTAATTAAACTATACTGCATAATTTTCTTCTTTTGATTATCTTTCCTAATTTTGCTCCCTTAGTTCACTAGTTTGTGAGCATTTCCTTCAAATTCTCAACATTTTTCTATTTGTACTTTACTTGCTCTATATCTTACTTTTGGTCTCTTCTTACCTGACTACTTAATTTGTCCCCAGATCTCTTTCTGGTTTAGGCAGTTAAGAATTTTTTTTGCTCTCATTTAATATTAGATTCAATTGTTATACATTTGGAAACTTACAATGAGTGCATTTATTGTGGTTGAAATAAAAATTTTAAATGAGTGCAATTTTAATTTCTGTATTACAATTATTTCATTGAATTCTATAGTCTTTCTGTTAATGTCCAATAAGAATTAAACAGAAATAAACCTTTATATTTTAGTGGTTTTTCCCCCTCATTGATCTTGTGCTTTAGGAACACAATTATACTTCTGCATCTTGCATGATTCATCTTGCTTTTATACATAAACCCTTTACACTTTACTGTCAAAATATATGCATATACATTTTTTACCTACTTCACTTGTTTGCCACACATAACATAAATCTAAACATGTTTGTATATACCTATATTTAAAATATATTGCATTTTATGTAACTAGGAATGGATTTTTTCTATATAATTCGTCAATCTATATTTAGACCAAACAGAAACAGAATCTACTTTAGTTTCAGATATAATTTTTATTTATATACGTAGAGTGTAGTTTTAAATTTCATTCAGTTCTTTCTTCTTAATCTGAAAGAAAAAAGGAAACATAAAAATCCTTAAAATATATAATATATCCTACAATTCATTTCTTTCAAAAATAAAAATATTTTTGTAGATGAAACTCATACTGAACAAGGTATTTTAAAACATAGATGGGGAACAATCTATGAAGGCTTTTCTATATAGCTAAAGATGTCTTTCTGAGAATCTTTAATGCTTAATGGATAACAGCTCACAGAAACCACATGCTGCCCATTACATTATTTGCATTTTTCATACTGCAATCATGAATATTTGCCAAAGTAGTAGATATGCTCTAACACAACTCTTAAATGGCCAATCTATATTAAAATATTAAATTAAAACATAATTAAAATACATAAAATCTCAAATATAACTGTACTTTTTATTATTAGATATCCATATGTATATAACAGATATATTATTTACTATTGCATTCCTAATGGTTTTTAATTCCCCCCTCAGATAACATCCAATCCCTTGAATTCACAAGAACTTCTCTGGGAAATGACCATTTAACTTACAACAATACTGTTCATGTTGCAGTCTCTTTCACTCAAGTTTGCACAATCAGTTCTTGCTGACATCCAGCCTGAACCATTTTCCTTTAAATTTTAAATCACTACTTCTGGTATTATCTTTTGGAGCTACAGATGAAGTTCACCTTCTGCCCGCTGTGACAATGCTTCAGGTATATGAAAACTATCTTAAGTCTCCATAACTGAACCCTCATTATGCTTGTAGCGATACATTCTTGCCTTTTCTGATATGTGGTGCCAGAACTAGACCCAACATTTGAAGAAGGGTCCGACAGAATCAGAATAAGTACTCAAAAATGCTGTTTAATAATCGGTTAGAGAAACATACCCAAACTGAGGTGTCTTTTGTTAGGGGTTCCTTTTTAAGAATGAGATATTTGTTTTTCTCAGGTCTTTTGGAACATCACCACTTCTTCAAAATTCTTAAAGACTCCTGAGGATGACTCTGCAATCATGTTTGCCAGTTCCATCAATATCCTAGAGACTTGAATTTATGTAGCCAAATTCTCCCTGACCTTCCTATCTATCCTACCTATAGTTCCTGGATAACAGTGACCAATTAGGACTCTATTTCACTTTTAAGAGATTCTCTTCTCAGAGAAGACAAATGCAAAACAGGAGTTAACAGGTTCTGCCTTCTTCCCATCACTGAACAATTTACTACTTGCAAGACCTTTGTAGCCATCATTTCTAAAAAGCAAGTTTTATGAGCCTTTCTATTTCAACACATTCTGAGTTTTAGATTCTCTGACATTTTTCTTTCTTCTAGCGGCTTTTCTGGATATGTTCTGCTTCAGGTTCAGAACTCTTCTGAAGTTCAAAAATCTTAACTCTTTTCATTTCTTCTTTCACATGTATCAGAGATTTAATGATTACAAGATAACTTCCCCTTAAAAATGCCAGATACCACCTTTTTAGCCAACCTTTTTCCATTGGTGAAGTTGGTCTAGGATAGCAGATTCCTTGATTTTATTGCACCTTCTTACATCCTACTATTAATCAGATTTAATCCTGTGAACTTTTTTTTTAACAGCAGTCAAGATTAATTAGAAATTTTAGTTCAGTTTAGCTCTGTATGTGCATGTAATTTTAAAATCATTCAGTAAGCAAAACTAGAGATGAACACCAAAAGCCTAAAAATCTACACTGAGTATGGTCCCCAAGCATTTTATTAGTTTCAAAGTAACTGAGAAGGCTTTCTCCCACGTTCCCAACAGACAGCCATTACAAGCAGAACCCGCTTTATAAGGGCCCACCATGACATTTTAAATATAGTAGTATCCTGAGACTTCAAGCCAAAATTATTTAGCATTTCTAAAAGTTTAACTGCTGTTAAGACCTGTTCTGGGGGAAAAATATTGGTAACTACTACAGCTATGTCAAATAGTTATAAGGTCCTTCTGTTTTGTTCTGATTGATAATCTGGCTATGGCCTAGGACATCTAGAATTCCCAATAATTTTCATAGAAACCCTATCTATAATGCATTTTAATAGCTTAGTTGTGATATATTTAAGACTTTGAAAAATTACTACATATGATGGGATTAGGAGTGGACGGTTGTATTCAATGCTATTATATAAGTATGCCCTCCTATTTCAGGGAAGGACTTGTTTTCTAAATGTTACTTAATCATGATTTAAACAGCTATTGGGAAAAAAGATACTGTAATATTTGAAGAAAACTATGGTTCCTGCTATGGATTCAAATACATTAATTTGAATCCAGGTTTACATGTACAGTGTTAGTAGGCACTGATCCCAGAATAAAAGCAATGGCAAATCATTTCCATTACATTATATAGATGTATAATGAAGAGCTGATCTTCATTAGAAGGCATTATTTTATATACACTGTTTCCAAGTTTACCTATTAAGAAATTTAGCAAAATTTAGCACTATACAGTTCATAGCTTACCACAAACTTAATTTTATTGAAATTAAACCAGAAAATGGTTTTTATAGTTTCCAAGAAGCAACCCAAATAGCTTGTAAAAGACTTCTAGAGAATGAAAACAAATAGGAATTACCTGTTATAACATTTTCACTGCTTAAGCAGCTGATGCCTTACAATAAAACAGGGACCACCAATACCAGTTATGGTAAAGATAAAGGTTCCGAGTAACAATTTCCATTTGTTGTCGACAGAGAATGGGAGATTCTGAAAAGATAAGAATGTTGAAGTTTTGTTTTAGCAAGGTACTTAAGTTATTAAACAAAGTTAATGCACAAAAAGTGACTTGGCCTAAAAATCCATGGATAGCAATTAGCACCCAAGTACTAAATGTTCATTCATCATTTATAGTTACAGAAGTACACCAGTGTATTCCTAATTTTCTAAAAAGAGGGTTTAATAGCTTAATACAGAGGTCTCCAAACTTGACAACTATAAGATTTGTGGACTTCAACTCCCAGAATTCTGCCAGAATCCAAAAGTCTTAAAGTTGCCAAGTTTGGGGACCCTTGGCTTAATATCAAGATCCTTTAATCTTAACCTGATTTACACTTGTCCCATTTTTATTTCACATTAAAAAGACACTACGTATGTCCTTTAGATGCCATCTTGGATACAAATATGACCTGAAATTAAATAGTATCCTAGCACGACTTCAGAACAGGTACATCAGAAAGCGTTTACAGTATCATCCTTATTCATGCTGTTATGCTATCATCATCTGTACCGGTAGAATTCAGAAAATAGTCATATATTACACTAAAGGCACTGCTTCTGCACCTACAGGTACTTTACTTTATTGTCATTGCACCTCTTACAAAATTAAATAGCATCTTCAGTGTACAATTGATGACTATGAAAATAAACACAAACACACATCCCTCAGACTCCACACATTGAACTGAAAACCCTGTATATCGTATTAATATTGCACTATAGAATTACTGCCCTGGGAAGAAGCTGGAAATATACAGGAAACTGAATATTAAAAAGAGCATTAAAAACGCCGCCATGTACACTGAGCAGGGGCCTTTGGGCAAGCTACAGCCAGAGAAAAATGGCATCATCCCACAGGGCGAGCTAAAAAAGAAAATGAAACTCTCCCCCATCCCATATATAGAGTTCAGCCCACGTGTTTCAAGCTACGCGGATCCAAAATGCGAACGGAGATATTACAAATATCAACTCCGCAAAAATAATAATAATCGTTATTTATTCCTCTCCTTATTCTCTCCTTCGAAAAGTCTCTTTTCCGTGATTAAGGCTTCAAGCGTTCGGCCCCGGCTTTCCAATGCAAATGGAAAACAAATGTAAATGTAAACCAAAGAGGAAGAAGAGGCTGAAAAATAAGAGCTTCCTCTCTTCCCAAATTATTTTCCCCTCACTGACTTCGAAAGGTGAAGGGCCTAGAGAAGCGAAGGAGCCTCTCTCCGGTATCTCCCTCCGGCCGGGGAAGGTGGGGGCGGGGAGGGAAGCAGGCCTAGCCCGACCTGCCCAGGAAACCGGCCCATGACCCTGCCGCAGCTCGAGGGGCAGAAGAAGTAACGGAGGCCCTGAATTCGTAGCCTTCCCCCGCCTCCATCTTACCTTTCCCGGGCCCTCCTCGTAATGCATCCGCCGAAGGGCGGAGGTGCCGAACCGGCGGACGCTGCTACTCAACATGTCGGCCGGAATCAGACCCCGGCGACAAAAAGGTTGCTTCTCCTTCACGACCTTCACTTAATCTAGAGCCACGTGACTCAGGCGTTATGGGAGGAGACAAAAAAACAACAACCCATCGCCGAAAGGCAATATGGGAATCGTAGTTTTAGGGCAAACAAAAGGACGTTACTTGCGGAGACGAATGTCTGTTCGTAAGTAATCTGCCTTCCAGTGTCGTCGAGGATAGTTTCGCGGGTGGTATTTGAAGAATTAAAAAACAACAATACCCTCACCCTTCTGTAAATAGACACTTATTGGTTTGTTTATATTAAACCCCTAATTCTAGCAAATAAATACAAAGCACAAAGCGATATTCCTCCCTCTCCCCGCTTTCCTTTGACAAGGCCAGAAGAAAAAGGAAATAAACATAGACAAATATTGTAAAAGTGCTTCATTACAATTAAATATCTAACTGCATAAAAGCAAAGAGAGAGAATACTGGTAATACTGGTAACACTAACATCAGAGGTATATCTGCTGAATGTATATTTAAGAATAGATGAAACTGATAGTGGTGAGATATAACTGCGATAAAAAAACGGCATGCAGTTTTCCCTACAAAAAAACCCCAACGAAGGCTGGTAAATACAAAGATGTGTATATGTGCACCCTGTTCTCCCTCAAGTACTACTAGAGTCAATAAATTAATAAAACTATGAGTATAACCTGGAGCTTTGGGAGTATATCTAAAAAATACAAAAACTGTATTTATTTCACAAATTTGTATGGCAGCTCAATTCACTCACAGGTGATCATGGGTGGCTTACAGCATTAAAACCCACAACATATAAACCATAAAACTTCACTGCCACTTCCCATGGCAGCAGCAATACAATCAAACCATTTGGTCCATTCCCATGCCTGGTCCTCAGTCAGTTGACATGTCCTATATGTTGCTTTACAGGATGCTGTGTAAACAGTGAATCAAAGGCTTTTCATTGCTGTTATAAAATCTAAGAATACATCTGCTATGAAGGAAATGTTACAGCATATATGCGAGGACAAACAAATGTTTTGAAATGGTAAAATAAAAATGGGCTACAAAAGTCAACATAGACATTCATTTGGATTCAGCCAGTGAACATTTTAAACCAGCAATTCAAAATAATGAAACAGAACTGCACTTGTCTGAATATAAATAACAGCTTAAAGAAAAAGTTTGTAAGTGTAAGAAAGATATAGCAAGGCTATACTACCTTTGAAATCCTACCTTTGAAATCCACTGGAAAAAAATCATTTAAATGAAATTGTGTCTGATGCAAATATGGTTGCCTAATCTATTATGACATAAATGATCAAAGAGACTAATCAATTTATGTATAGCCTTATAAAAGTAATAACAGAACTGGGTTATCAATTGAAAGCAAGCTGCAAATTAAAACTCAGTGCTAATGTGAAAAAATACTGTACATTGGAAAATATAAATCAACTTTAAAAAGAAGTTAGCAACCCACATACTTTAAAATAACACAAAGTGAAAAATAAGAAAAACAAGCTTGGAAAAGATACAATCTTGATAGAAAATGATTACAGAAATCATGTAACAATTTAACTTAAGACTGGTGGCAATTTATAAGAAAAGTGAACAATATGGATGTAGGATCAAGCATTTCCAGCAAAATGGGATAGAACAGATCAGCAATATTTTTAAAGCTAATGTAAAAATGAAAAACCGGATGAATCCCCTCCAAATAATGAAGAAATATTAAGATAACCAAATAAACACAATGAAATTCCCCCGAGATATCTGATTTAGAAAAACAAGCAAAACTTAAGCAAATGGAAAAAGTGTAGCAATGGCAGTAATTGTAAAAGGACAAGCTAAAAAGTTAAAAAAAAATAGAGTAAACCAGGAAAACTTAAACACTGGATTTTGGGCTCCAATGTCTGTCAACATTGAACTGAACCTGCTAGAAGCCATTCCTGGTCCATTGTTGCCACATTGTATGAGAAGGGGGAGGAGACTGGAATGCAGCGTTAGACACAACAATGAACTTTCTGTGAGAACCAAGATCATCTCCTAGGTGATGGAGGAAAAAGAAGAGTGCCTGAAGACCCCGCCAATTAGTTTAATTGGCCAATGAGAACAGTGACACTGGGGGGAAGGGGTGATTACTGGTTTTAATTATGCTGAAACTGCAGGAAAGATTCAGAGTTGGTTTTGTACCAAGTGTGATGATATGATTTACCCAATAAAGAAGTTCTTTGACGAAGGGTCTCGCCTCAGAGTTATGATTTGCTTGGGTTTGTTAATTGAAACCTTGACAATGTCTATTTTGCATTGTTTTACATTTAATTTCAATCAAATGTTGCAGTAATGATCAATGGTTGGCTTCCATAAGTTAGAAATCAGGAAAAGCAAAAGAAACAATACCCAATAATTGGATGCCTGAAGCATTCAAGTTGTTTATAGGAATCCTTGCCAGTAATGCCTAACAAACCCTCTAATCTCAAATTAGGGAAATTCAAATGTTCTAGAGGTACAAAATATCAACTTTGATGAAACAATATTTCAAAAAGAAACCCCAAACCCTCAGAAAGACATAACACACCTATATGTTACCTGGACTGATTACAAAAATGTATTGGATTCATTATCGTATAGCTGGAGTAGAAACATTTAGACATTTTTTTGAATTAATAAAATTATAAAGGTTTTATGTGCAATAAAAAATAGGAATGGCTTTTAAATGAATTATGAATCTTTAGTGATGACATCAAAATGGAGTTTGGACTGGGAAAATGTGTAATGTAAAAACTGAATGTCTGGTAGAATTGAATTATGGAATGTAAAAGCCAACTGGTGACTTTGGGCCAATCACTCACTCTCAGCCCAATTCATCTAACACAGTTGTCATTGGAGGAAGGAGTCTTAGATATGTTCAATGACTACAATTACTTATAAAGTAATAAGGGTTGGATAAAAATCAAATAAATAACATTGACAAAGGAAGAAAAGGAAGAAATGAAACAGAAATGAAATGAACACAGGGTCTATAGTGCTCCCTGAGCTTGATGATTTTCTTGTAGAATATAGATGTTTCACTACCAAACTAGATAACATCATCAGTGTACTCAAAGTAGTGTACTCAAGTTTCTTAATCAAGTTTTATGTAAGAACTGTGAGGTATGCATTGACTTGAGAATTCTCACTGCGGTGCCAGTGTTTGGATCTAATAGATACAATTTAGTAAGTTTAAAAGATAATCAAGGTATTAAGAATTGTGTGTAATAAGTGATTGGGGAGCATAAGCTCAACAATTCGTTTTTTATCCAAGTGGAGCATAGATATGCAAAGCAAATAAATTAGATAATGTCATTGATAACTGGAAAGTGAGAAAGACATTGCACAGAAGTTCAGCAGAATTAAGTTTCTAGCTAAAAATCTTAATTGAAAAATGTCATGGTGCTGGTTTTGAATACTATGATTGAACGGCTTTACTTAAATCAGACTACTGTAAACATTATAACTGGTGTAATGTAAGATGATAACCTTTGACTGTCTTGTATAAAGGTCAACTAAATCAGTGTCGTTATTGATTACGAAGCTCATTTATTTTGATGTTCTCAAAAAAATCAACTTAACTAATTTTTTGCAATTTGGGAAGTAAATAGCATTCAACATGAATTTACTATTGCATCTGTTTTTGTAACTTGGGGCAAAAAAAACCCCAACAACACAAGAAAAACCACAGTTATCCTTTCTTTCCCTTCTTTCTTTTGGCCCAGAACACCTATTACATTTGAAATATTGTTCCATGTAACACAGAATATTTATTCAATAATCACAGTTAACAGGTGAATGCAAGCAAAATTCCCCATTCAGAATAGCCTTTGAAAACATGGTGATCCAACCTTTTCTTCAGGTCCTTCTTAAAGGCCCGAAGGGTAACCATCAATCTAACAATCTAATAGCAATAGCACTTAGACAATACCACTTCACAGTAAGAGGTTTACAGAAAGCCTGTTGCCTCCAACAATCAGGGTTCTCATTTTACCCACCTCGGAAGGATGGAAGGCTGAGTCAACCTTGAACCTGGTGAGACTCAAACTGTAGAACTGCTGGTAGCCGGCAGTCAGCAGAAGTAGCTTGCAGTATTGCATTCTAACAACTGGACCACTCTGGCTCATGATAATTAAGGTGTACCGAATTTGTGTCAAGATTAAAAAAAATCTATTTTTCACACAACTATGTATTACTTTCTGTAACAGGTGATATGCCTCTTAATGCTAGTTGCTAAGGAATTTGAATGACAGGGTGAACTTTTGTTTTGCTGGTGAATTTCATTCAGGCATGCAGTTCATTACTCTAGGAACAGAACACTGAACAAAACCTATTTGACCTTTATTTATGAGGCACTTTTCATTTTGGGGGGATGTATATATAAATATCCCTTTACAATGTTACCTATGTAAGATACTTAGCTTCCAAAGTTTACTTTTGTTTATGTTATGTTGAGTGATGTTAATAGGAAAAAAATTAATACCTATAATGACAATGAAAGTTGAGGAATTGAATTAAAACAAAGGCATTTTATAAGTACAAACTTTCATTTGAGCCATGGTTTCTAATTCTGAATTCAAACATCTTTAGGCGAACTGGTTAATAGTAATAAGAAATTCTTCTTGATCTATTCAATATCTTTTACCCAGCTGTCTTCACAATAATCAATATAATTGGGAAATACTTGAAGAATAGTTGTGGTATAGTTTTAATAGTTAAATAGTTTGAGAATTTGTGCAATCCACTGAACATGGATATTGGAGCTTCCTTGTAAATATTAGAAAGTCGGGTACACAATACTATAGCTAGAATACACATTCTTGTTTTTTTAAAATATATTTAGAAATATTATTAATAAATGGAAGATATTTTTATGGCCACCCAATGTGAACAGTGGTAACTCTGGCAGTATTTACCAGAAGAGTCTTAGATCAAATAATTGAAATGGAGTGACGAGAAATGGAATGAACATGTGAGTTTAAGTCACTTATGTAACTTTAAATTACAGTTTGACATTAGATCTAGGTTTAAAGTCCTGTTGAGGT